TTCTGGCTCACAGATCACTCTCTGCTAGAAGTTCAAGGTTGAAACAACAGCTCTTCGTTTCTTTCATTTATCAACGGTTACATTGTGGGCACCGTGTTGGATAGCAGCAAGCCAAGAATGGCTGCACTAGTCATACACCGACTTCCTGGAAGTTGTATTTTGATGAAAATGGCAAAAAAATGACATATATAATTGTCGAATATTGCAATGAGTGGTGTGCGGATGACAAAGGATAGCTGTAGCAATAAATACGTGGACCCTTCCTCAGACGCGGGGGGCAGAAAGTGTTGCTAAGATCTATCATGTAGGCAGAGTCTGAGGTAGGCGATGAAGTTAGACACTGGAAGATTCTAGGTCAAGAGGGGAGAGGGTGAAAAGCTCTTGAGATAGCATGGAGACAGAAGGCCTGATTTTTTAGAGCTCAGAGTCAGGGGAGGTGACTCGAAATGAGATCAGGGTGGAGGCAAGGCTAAGACATGTGAGACTTGGAAGGTCTGGTTTGGAGCCTGAATTTTCCAACAAGTATGTAGGAAGCCACTAGCAGATTTGCTCTTATTTACATTTTAATAAGTGTTTTGTACGGTAGGCAACATGCTATTCATTAAAAAATACTCAACTGGAAAACATCCATCCAATTATTAAAATGATTCTATCAGTTAGGTCCGGTTACCAGAATCATTACAGCTGCTTCCATTTCAAGCCTAACCTCATAGGCTTGGTGAGGGAGCCAGGATTCAAGCCCCAGTCACACATTCCCAGAATATCCACACCGAACCATGACAGTTCTGCTTTTCAAGTGGCTTTATCTATGAGGGTTGAGAAAGGGTGGAGGCAGAGCTATTAATGAAGAAACTATCACAGGATCCAAGGAAGAGTCAAAAGTCTATAAATTACAGTGGTGGATACCTCATTGGTGTGGTGGGAAGCTTGTCAACCTCATAATACATTACAATGGAGATAAAGACAAGAATGGGCTTCAGATATGCTGTGGTAACATAATTGATAAGATTCTGACTCCATGGACTAAGGAGGTGAAGAAGGCTAAAAAATGAGAGATAATGGTTTCTAGTTTCTAGCACCAGAATGGATTACTAGATGATAATGGTGATGATGATTGTGTTACCTTTTTTTTTAGAATTTTATTTATTATGTATACAGTGTTCTGCCTGCATGCATGTCTGCACATGAGCAGAGGGCACCAGATCTCATTGTAGATGGTTGTGAGCCACCATGTGGCTGCTGGGAATTGAACTCGGAACCTCTGGAAGAGTAGTCAGAGTTCTTAACCTCTGAGCCATCTCTCCAGCCCTGATTGTGTTACCTTTTCAAAGTAAATTAAATGTTTAAAATTTTAAAATAAATTTTGAAAATAATGCAAGGCTGCCTGGTGTAATGGCTCATGCCTTTAATCCCAGCACTTGGGAGGCAGATGCAGCAGCAGGTGGATCTCTATGAGTTTAAGGTCAACCTAGTTTACATAGCAAGTTCCATGACAACCAGAACTACAAGATAGAGAGCAAATTAAGAAAAATAATAAAGCAAGGGTTTAGAATTTATTTTGGACATGTCAAGTAGACATATTTCTGAGTATATAACTCTGAAAGACAGCCACTAAAATTAAAAAGGTAACCACATAAAGATTTTTTTTTTAACCCCAGAAGATGAACAAGACAATTTAGAGAAGGGACCAATGCTAATCATTAAGGAGCAACAATATATAGAAGTTTTTAATGGAGGAACCTAATAAAGGAATCTTTGAGGCTTTGGATAAGAACATCCAGGAAGCAAGAAAATCTGGAGACAATGATTCAAGACAACACAGGATTTAACACATGAAGAAGAGGAAGAAGAATTTGACAGGCCACTGAGATAAAGGTAAAGAAAGGCCCATGGTGATACCTGGAGTTCAACCCCCATGTTCATCATTGTGGAAGGAGAGCGCTGACTGCCAGAAGCTGTCCTTTGACCTCCACATGTGTGTCATGGCAAACACAGGCCACTATTTTTTTTTTAATGAACATGGGTAAGATGGCTCAGTTGGTAACATAATCGCCTTGCAAGAACCTAAATTTGACCCCAAGAACTCACGTTTGAAAAATAAGGTGAGAAAAGAACATACTACATTAGATCTGCTCCATCACGTGTCCCCAGGGCTCCTGAAAGTTCTCCCTCCTAAAGAGCATCTCGCTCAGCTCCTGGAGGCGTGAAAGCCTGTGTTTAAGGCTTTCTTTCAGCATGTTCAAAATCCCATGAAATACCAAATTGAGTTATTTCTAGGGGCTGGATGAAATTAAGCTTCAGGCCCATTCCAGGGAGTTAATAAAGGATAGGAGAGAGGCGAAGACATGTGTGGGGTGGTGACGGGACTATCGAAGTGGAGGATGACAGAAACGGGCACAGCCCGCCTCAAATAGCAGCTCCAGCTGCCCCGCACGTGTGCCTGGGGCTGCTCACTGCACTGGGCCCCTTGGGTTTCACACCACTCTTGATATTTGCTTTGATAAGTGTCTATCCCTTCGGGTATGAGCAAATGTCCTCTTTCTTTATGATTCTGCGCACATCCTCTGCACAGTCCTCCTATCCACCCTCGCAGCTGAGGGGTGTGGCAGCTGAGGAAGACCGTCGGGTGAACTGCACCACCACCACCCAAACCAGACCAAGCCAAACGTGAAGCAGGGTACAGTTCCCTAAAACAAGACTCACTCCTAGCAGGGTGATGGCTAAAAATGGACTCAGGCTTCGTACCTAGACATAAAACATTGGCTGCTTGTTTGTTTCTGTCCTCTTAAGTCTTCTTTGCTCTTTCCCAGACCCTGAGGGGAGAATGAACGTAGAAAACTAATTCGCCTTTGCTGTCACAGATTTCCTCGGTAAAAGGATTTCCACCGCCCAAAAGGAGGAAAAGTGTCACCATTCATCAGTGTGGCTAACTGTTTAGAAACACAGCCTCCACATGCCTTTAGAGATAAAGGAAACAGCAGTTTCCCAACTTTCCCCTAGAAAAACACTGAAGTTCTGGAACGAATGGTTTTTAGCACTAGAAACCCCTTCTTCAGAGGAATGAATGAACCTAAGGAATCAATGAACGAAAGAAAAGCTCTCCAGCCTGAGCTGATTCCCCGTAGACTGTGCCTCGTGCACCAGACTCAGAATGGGGATGATACTGAAGCCATTAAGACAGGAATGCAGGAAAAAGCTAGGAAGGGTATAAACAAAGAGACCTTGGCTCCCGGGTAATGGCTTTGACTGTGCCCGGAACATTTGTCCTTGTGGAATCTCTGTGCAATCACAGCCAACTATCCTCAATTCCCTTATCTGAGGATGAAATTTCCCTGACTGTGCAGAAGTGAGGCCGCCCGTGGCCTCCCAGAGGAGGCATTTTTGAAAAGCAAGCATTTCCCCTTCTCAGAGTCACCCCCTTCAGAGAAGGTTAGCTTTCCGGGAGAGGCTCCAAACCGTCCGGCCACTCTGTGTCCCTGAATTTTGTACAGAGCAACAGTAGGGGAAAAAAAATTCAAGGAGATTCCTTTTAAAAGGAACAAAACAACCTTTCAGCGGATGCCTAAAGGATGCAGAAGAGGACATAAGAGAACAGTCACTTTCTGGAGGCCTTGAAACCAAGTTAGCCCGCGCTGGGGCTAGGACTGTAAGTTCGTTCTCAGGTGACTACCCCAAGCAGAATCTTTAAAAAAAAAAAAAAAAAATATCAGTAGCAATTCCATACAAGCCCTAAATTGTTCATATGGTGCTATATATCCATTTATTCTGATGGCCCCTATTTGTAGAAATATGTCTAAACAAAATTACAGAAATAAAGAAAGACTAAGTCGCCTTGCCTTGGAACTGACTTCCAAGAGATAGTGCCTGCTTCCAGCTGTCATCTCTGCCTGTGAAAACGGTCCTGCTGCCTGGAATTTTCCCTTGCCCCCATACCGTGAAGAGGCTAGCAGAGGGATCAGATAAGACTAGTATAACATCTTTATTGCTTTATCATATGAGCACTCGGTAAACAGTAAACACTACTTCCCTTCAGCTCCTTCCCCATGCTCACTCCGATCCCAAATGACCTTACTTTGCTCCACTAGAAGCTCCTCGGGCACTGATTTACCGCGTAGGATGACATCAGTTTTCTCTAGTCCAGCCAGCGCTGTCATATGAAAAGCTTTTGTTAAATAAGAAAACCTGCCTCTTTTATCAGCACAGACCAGCAGGTAAACTGTCCTCTTGTGCTTAGTACAAACCTTTTCCAGAAGAAAGGCCTGACAAGTAGCACATGAGACAGGAGGAAGGCGCCAGTGCCCCTGGGGAGCCTCCCGCCCGCTGGAGCCTTAACATTCAGCTCTTACTTTTTGCATTAAGCTCTCTTTGACCCCAATTTGTGGAAAGGGAATTGACTTGGTAGTGGAAAGAATTTCCCCTCAGTTTGATGGATTATAAGATCACTTTGATGACCTTAACTGAAACCTGTCTGTGTGAAATGAAAATAGGAACATCGGGGGTTGGATCCGCACTCCCTGGTCCATCACTGGTTTTGATTGGTCAGGTGCTATCAAGCCAGTGACAGTAATAACTGGGACTCTCACTGGAGAGATGTCTCAGAGATTGAGAGTGCATGCTGCCTTTCCAGGGGACACACGTTTGGTTCACAGGATCCAGGTTAGACAACTCATATAACTGCTGGCAACTCCAACTCCGGGGGGATCTGAAGCCCTCCTCTGGCTTCCCCAGGCACCTGCATACACACGGCACACGAACACGTGCATGTGTGTGCGTATGCATACGCACGTGCGTGCACACATACACATCTAGGCACACCGAGAAAAGCACAATAAGTTCTTTTACTTTTTAAATTGAAAAATCTATTAAACAACTTCCCAGTCTAAAAATGATCAATTCTCCTGGAAAAAAAAAAAAAAGTAAACCGAAAAATGCAAGTTGAAAAGGCCTGAAATACTCATAAACGCCTGTCTACTGGCTAGCGTTCCAAACCCTGCAGTTACCTTTCGTCTCATTCCTGTGCTCCAGGCCCTCCGCCCAGCAGAGAGACGCTTGTCCAGGAAGATGTTGTTCTAGATGCTGAACTCTGCACTCTCAGCGGTCTCGCCTGGATGGGGAACGGTCTGTTCGACAGAAGTCCCTGGAGTTTCACCATCCAAATAAACACCGGGCTCAGGATCACCCCCACCTAGAGGAGGGGACCAGAGAGTCACAGAAACAGCCTGTCCCCAACCCAGAGCACCAGGGTTTCACATTTCGAGTTTCCCATTTACTAAACAGGAAACCGTTATTGCACGTTAATGGCCATTTCACATCCTCATAAGCACATCCTGTCAATTGCCGGTTTAATACGGTAGCACCTTGATCTCAGAGAGGACCGGGGTGAGGATGCAGAATGATCTAAGAGGAAGGCCTGTATCAAAGAATGTCTGGGAGCACTTTTCTAATCAAATCTGGGATCCATAGGCTTGGGGATAAGGGTCTCAGGTTGTATCACCATGATGCCTAGGTTACTGCTCTGGGTTGGATAGGAAGCATCCCACCGGAGGCTCATATTTTAAAAGCTTGATCCCCAGTGCAGCAATGTGCGAAGGTGGCGCTGCATACACATGTATGGATACTCACTTATACATATGTACATAAACACAATACACATACACATGATACAAACACATACACATGATACAAACACATACACATGATACACATGCACATACACATGCACACAGTATACACACATATACATGGTACACATGTATACACACACACACACACAGGCACACGTATATACCACATAAGTGGTAAAACTAGTTTATCAATGTCCACCAAATAAAAGCATTCTGATTTGGAGTGTTGTTGAATCTACAGATGTGGTTTGGAGTCACTGGCCCCTTGATAGAATGTGGAATATCTCTTCATTTATTTAGATCTTCATTAATTCTTTCATCAGAACTTTATAATTTTTATATGTATCTTGTACAGATCATGTTAGATTTGTGTAGACTCGTTCGTTTTCTGGACACCCTGACCTGAATAATCACACAAACTATATTAACTACAACACTATTAGTTCAGGCTTTTTATTAAGTAACTCTTACATCTTAAATTAACCAATTTCTATTAATCTGTGTATCAGCACAAGGCTGTGACTTACTGATAAGAGTCCAGCATGTCTTTCTCCTTCAGCAGCTACATGGCATCTCCTTGTCTCTACCTACTCTCTCTATCTCTGTTCTGATTTTCCTGCCTGGTTTTACTCTACCAAACCAAAGGCCAAAAGCAGCTTCTTTAACAACCAATGATAATAAAACATGTTCATATCATAAAAAGGGGAATCCTACATCAGATTTGTGCAAAAGTATTTAAATAAATATCTGTGCATTTAATTTTGGGATAATAATGTAAGTAGTATTGTAATTTAGGTTAAAATTTCAGTCATTTGTTGATAATGTATAAAAGAAAGCAGTTTCCTTTTTATATTAATCTTACATTCTGCAGCTTTACCATAACCACAAATTAGTTTCACATTTTGTTCTTTCAAATCTTTGAGATTGTCTACATATACTACCATGTCACTGACAGAGCTTTGTTTCTTCCTTCCTAATCAGTGTGCCTTTCATTTCCTTCTCAGTTTGAATGCATGCCATGCTGATATCATGATTGCTTCCTTCTGAACACTGTTCTAATAGCCAAGTCTTTATTCCTATCATGGGTTCTAGGGGTTTGAACTCAGTCCCTGATTCTTGAGCAGCAAGTGCTCTTACACACTGAACCATCTCCTCAGTTCCTGTTTTGAATTTTTAGCTCCTGTTGGCAGTTTCCTTTCATTTGACTACGTGTATTTATATAAAGCTAGGCTTACACTTTAGTTACCCACTTAGAACTGCTAGGGTTAGCCAGTTTCCCTGGGGACAAAAAAAAATGTGCCTCAGAACTAACATTCCTGTGGTTGCTCCAAACAGTGGCTGATGAGAAATATTTGTGAGAGAAACTCAGTTCTGTGAAAACATTTCATACTTTGTCTAGATAAATAATTGCTTTTTTATTCCAAAAGACATTTGATAATAACCACTGCAATTGATTATTCATGTAAAAATATCAAAGCCAAATGTTTTCCCAAAATACAATTAAATTTAACTTTCATTTACAGGGAGAAAATTGCCAAAAAAAAAATTTGCAAGAATGATATAATGCATGTCTAGAGGCAATTAAGAAAAACTAGGCACTGGAGAGATGGCGCATAGGATAAAAGCTCATATTGTTATTGCAAAGGGCCTGAATTAACTTCCAGCTTCCAAGTCAGGTGACTTACAACAGCCTGTTACTCCAGCTCCAGAGATCTGACACCTCTGGTCCCCATGGACACTCAACCCCCAAACACACACATAATTAAAGTAAAATAAGTCTTACAAACGTAACATAAATATCCCTTTCTGTATTCAAGGGTATGTGTGTTGTGACATGAAGCAAGATCGGGTCTAGGGGTGCGTGCGTGTGTGTGTCCATCTAACAACTTCCAGGATGGTGCTTTCCTACTAACCTTGTGTAGCTCAGCACCACCAGCTAAAGTCTATTGGCATGCAGCTGAAATGCACACATTTTCTCTGCCTCCTGTGTAGAAACTGACGGAGACCCTCTGCTGCTGAAGCAGTAGGCAAAACAGAGTCCGGGATAAACAGCACAGCTGAAAACATTTAATGTATCAAGTTCAGGCTACCATGGTGCAGCTAGTCTTGAAGTCGGGAAAAGAGAAACAAAAGTGACTCCTCCTCAAAGGGGTGGACCAATGAGTCCCACCAACGGCTCAGATAAGGCAGATAAGGCGCTCGCACACAGCCAAGCAAACGAGACGAGTAGATGACAAGCTGTCATCTTACTTCTAACCCCCTCCGACCAGAACCCGTGTTTACACTGCCACAGTAAAATGAATTGTGCGGTCAGGTTTCAGAGGAATGGCTGCTCGTTAGTGTATCGCTTGCGGAAGCTGCTGATAACACCACCTCTCACGGCACAGGTCCCTAAGCAGAGAGCCCATGTTCTCTACCTTCACTCGTGATTACGCGAAAAGCCGGAAAGGAGGGGCTATGATATGTTTTCAAAATCCCATTTAACTTGGGTTTAGATTTTGTTTTTGGACACAGGGTTTTGCTAGGAAGTTCAGGCTACCCTGGAACTTGCAGCCTTCCGGGACTCCGACCCCTGGGTGTTGCAATCGCTACATCCACTGATCCTGCATCTTGAAATGTTTTGAATGCAATTGAAATTCTAGCCTTAATCAAAACCAGAAGCGGGCCCCACCACCTATCCAAAAGGCCTGCTAAAAATACTTTAAGTTCATCTGCAGTTCAGAGCTCAGGATTATTTTTATTTCCCAGCTTGGGTCTATCGGAACCGCCTTGAAGCTTTGAGTGGTTTTGCTAAAAAAGACGCGCCTATGCAAATAGACTAAGTGTGGAAGACACTGAGTGAAAGAAACTTGGCGCATCCTCCCCTGGGCACTTTTCTCAAAGTCAAGATCACAGAATTCATCAGAGGTTGAATCTGCACTCGCGCTGTCTAGCTTCATGGCAACCGTGAACTTCCACTTAACTGAGGAATAGTTTGTCTGGGGATGGTCAGAGGATAAAGCCCTTGTCCATACATGGACAAGGACCTGAGTTTGGATCCCCAGGACCGTAAGGCCAAGCAGAATAGCACAAGACTGTAATCCTAGAGGGAAATGGGAGACAGAGACAGAGGAGCCCCCAGAAGCTCCCCCAGTCAGCTAGCCTGTCATACACACGCAAACAAGGCACCCTGTCTCAAACAAGATGGAAGGCAAGCACCAACACCTGCGGCTGACCTCTGACCTCCACTTGATCATGGTAGTATGTGCACCCACACTCCCAATACCCCCTGCACGTACACACCTGCACACAGAGACTTTAAAAAATACAAATAAAATAGACCGTTTGCAAAGGTTAAATGATTTATTTGCATCCATATCTGACTCGACCCCACTTTCCAGGGTCAGTTCAGTAATTGCTTCCTCTCCACTGTGTCGTGCAGCTTTGGACTTTTGGTCAGATCCCTTCGTGATCAAACTTAAGATGGAGCTGAACCAGAGCTAATTTCCACTGGCGTGTAGACACCTTTAACACAACATCAGCAGCGACAACAACAGCAACAACAAAGAGGGTAGGAGGCACAGGTGATGCTGAGGTAAACCGAAAGACCTCGTCCTCTTCGGCAGGACAGTGTGTTGAGTCCTGCTCCTTCATTCAATGCTCTTCCCAAGATGTCTGCAAAAAACAAAATCTCTGGGACTTCTCATGGTCACCCTGGCTTCCAGCCTCTGCTTCTGCTGTGCATTCAAAACTGAGTGCAGGGTGGAGGGCCAGTTAGTTTTCTGTTCTGTCTTGCTCAGTGGAACTCACCCCAACTCCCTGTCCTTTCCTATAGAGCTCTAAAACCACAGCAACCGATCTGGGGTGAATCCAGTGACTGTATACATGGCAGACTTGGCTGTAGTCAATCTTGGAGGTTTTACACCAGAGTACCCATAGCGACTGAATCTGCCGTATGGAGCCTGCAGTTGACTGTTACCTCTTTCCTCACTCCAGAGAACCAAGCCTTCCACCTGTAGACCAGAATCCCCTTCTCTCTGAACCTCCTCTCTCAAATGTCTCCTCACCTTGTTTACAGAGATGCCTCTCTATCCAATTCCTGGCCCTGGCTGGGCCTTTCTGTTCAGTTCCAGAGCCTCTCTCTCATGCTCAGGTACCCACGGTACCATTCTGTCTCAGCACCAGCAAATGTTTGGAGATACCATTTCTCCTTGACCTTGCCCCCCCCCAACCAACTCTGTAATAAGAGGAATTAGTAGATTCTTTTCCCCCCACTTAATCTATAGTCTCTTTATCCAGGTTCCTAAGAAAACTGAAATTTAGGGCTGTTGTTTTCTTCTTTAACTAAGTATTTGTTCTCTAGCAGTAGTAGGCTTATTGAAAAATAGGCCAAGTTTATATAATCTCCTGCCCCCACCTGCTGGGGCACATTTCCCTCTTCTTGGCACCTAGCATTAGTGTGGAGAGTTGGCTTTAACTGACGAATCCATGCTGACATATTGCCATGAACAAAGTCATAGTTTCCAAGGTCTACGCACATTAACTTCGTACATTCTGCAGATGTTAGCAAACACATAATGGCTTCTGTCCATGTTACTTTATTGTGTAGGATGCTTTCACTGCCCTAGAAGACCCAAGTGTTCCCTTGGTTCATATGTCCTTCCCCCACGCGGCTCCAACTCCTGCCAAACACTCAACCTTTTGCTTCTTATTGTTTTGCCTTTTCTAGAATGTGTTCTCGCCTTTTCAGAAGACCTCCTTACTCTTAGCAAAATTCTTTTAAAGTTCTTTCATGTCTTTCCTAGCTTCATTTCCCTTTTACCCTTGAGTATTTTATTATTGAGGCAGCAGAAGATGCAGTGAGAGAGAGTTCACCCCATGGTTGGCCATGAAGTAGATAATAGCAGCAGCCAGGAATAAAACACATCCAAGGCTCCACCCTCAGTGACCTACACCCTCCGTCTCAGCTCCTCTCATCTCTTGAGTTTCCACAACCTCCCAAAGTAACCTGGGGACCAAGTATTCAAACCTGAACTGATGGAGACACACTGCATTTCAACCGTAATACCTGGGAAGACAGCGCTGTGCTGTGGAGACAGCTAGGAAAGCTGGGAACGTTTGGGACTGGATACAGAAGCTAAGTTGGTAGAGGCACTGGCACACAGAGGGCACCGTGAGCTGCTCTGGGTCTGTCCTAGAAAGAAAGTCAGGAATCTTTGGGTTGCGCCACGAGATAGATGTCCCCACCCTTTCTGTAGCCCATAGGAGTTCACCGAAACAATGCAAGAAAACTGAATTCATTAAATTATAAGGAAAAATAAACACACTCACCATACACCAAGAAAACTAGGTAAAAAATCAGCAACACAATACTCTTACAGAAATTCAAACCCATTTAGAAAATGTCCCGGGCTGGAGAGATGGCTCAGTGGTTAAGAGCATTGCCTGCTCTTCCAAAGGTCCTGAGTTCAATTCCCGGCAACCACATGGTGGCTCACAACCATCTGGAATGAGGTCTGGTGCCCTCTTCTGGCTTGCAGACATATACACAGACAGAATATTGTATGCATAATAAATAAATATTTTTAAAAAATAGAAAATGTCCCATAAAGCAAAAAAAAAAAATGAATATAACCCCGGCATTGCAATATAACTCTTAATAATTTGATAAAGTAGCTAAAAGCCTGAGGATAAACGACAAAGCAAAATCAAAAGAATTCAGGTGAACTATGACCAAAAGACAAGTATATGAAGCAGAAATGGTCAAAATTAAAGAATGAAACAGAAGGAGGGAAGGGGTTGTTCAGAAATAAAGGAAGCTACGAGTAGCATAAAGGAAAATGATGAAGGCCATGGAAAATATAAATTTACAATGCACATTCAAGATAAACTAAAATCATGAAGTCAGTTGTTGTGTTTGAATATGAAATCTCTACACCAGTGGGTATTTCAGCATCTCGTTCCCAGCTGTGACACTACTTCAGGACTTTGGAGATGGAAGAAGATCATTGAAGACACATCCTTGGCTGGTGTGGGATGCCCTTCTGTACACTGTGAATATATGTTGCTTTTCTTGGTTGTTGGATGAAGCTGCTTTGGCAGGGCAGAATATAGCTAAGCAGGAAATACAAGCTGAGATACAGGGAGAAAGAAGGCAGTCAGGTGAGACACCAGCAGCCATTGGAGAAGCAAGATATGAGGTAACAAACCATGAGCCCTGTGGTAAAATATAAACTAAAAAAAAATGGGTTAATGTCAATGTAAGAGCTAGCCAATAATAAGCCTGAGCTATCCACCAAGCAATTATGATTGATATTAAGCCTCTGAATAATTATTTTATAAAATGCTGCAGGAACCGGCAGAGCAGAGAGAATCAGGTCCAGCAGGACCAGGTGAAACAGAGAAAAGCTTCCTGCTAAGCTTGGCAGTAGCTGTCTTGTTCCTAACCCCTTCCTGTCTGTCACTCTCCACTTCCTGTTCACAGTGACAAGCTCCCGTCACACACTTCTACTGCCGAGATGTTCTACCCAAGAGGAAACAACCAAGCAGCCATGATGAGACTGTGAGTTGAAATCCACTGAGTTGTTCTATTTTATAACCAGTCACTGTAGAACAGAAGGGACAAACACACAAAACAGACTAGACAGTGTTTAAAAAAAAAAAGGTAAGCAGAGATATAGCCTAATAAGGCTGCAATCCCAAAGAAGAGAACATGAAGCAATGAAGAAAATGTCGAAGGATATAATTCAAGGAAACTGCCCAAGATGAAAGAAAGCTTGAGTTGGTATACAAGAAAGACATTGTATATTCAGAAAAATAGTCCTAGAATAGCCATCTCTAGAAGATATCAATAAATTATCATATTTTTAATTTTTCTACTCATTTTACATACCAACCACAGTCCCCCCTCCCTTTCCTTCTCCCACACCCTCTCACCATACCCCATCCCATCCCCCATCCATTCCTCAGAAAGGGTGAGGCCTCTCATGAAGAGTCAACAAAGCCTGGAACATCAAGTTGAGACAGGACCAAAACCCTCCCCACTGCATCAAGACTGAGTAAGAC